CAAAGCTATACATATGGTATCTTAAATAGCTGCGTATTTAGTTTTAGCCATTTTTATTACTTTGCTTTAATATTCTTTGTGTATAACATTTCATGTGACTACAGCCTGTTGAAGGAAACTGTATTCCAAAACTTCACCAGATTGACAAAGATGTTTCGAAGTTTTGTGGACCATACAGTTTTCAGTACTAGAAATTGTGAATGAACCTCAAGCAGCCAAATAATGCATGTACCTTGATAAATGGTGCAGCTTGGATTCGACTCCACTGCAAGACCCGCGAGTGCCTTCACATCTACTTTGGATCTACCCTAAGGCCTCATTCACACGAGAAACGACCGGCACGTACAGCTTTGTGCCGCGTGCACGGTCGGATCGGGCAGCTCCCGGGAAGGACAGGTGCTGCATGCGATTAGTACGCAGCCCGTCCTTCTCTATGGGAATACCCAGCCATAAGCCACCCTACACTCACCTCAAGTGCAGGTCCGTACGGGTGCAGGTGTCCCAGCTCGGATGGGGACAGGATCCATCCCGTCAGGGTACAGACACCCGCAACTACGTGCCACGTATTCCCATAGAGAAGGACAGGTGCTTCCTACTAAAAAAAAAAAAACATGCAGCACCTGTCCTTCCCGATAGCTGCCTGATACGGCCGTGCACGCAGCAGAGCTGTACGTGCCGGCCTTTTCTCATGTGAATGAGGCCTAATAAATACAAAGCACCACGGTTGGCTTCTGTCTGAGCTCCAGCTGCAATCAGCATTAGAAACTGCCAGCTATTAACTTACAATTGATGGTGTTGCTCAGCCCCACCATTCCACATCCTGCGATTGTGAAGCCTGACTGGAAAATGGTTCTTCTGTGCCTTGATGCTGTCAGAGACTAAAGGTGCCCACAGACCTTGCGATAATCGTACGATAATTTCCCGCGATTGTATGATTATCGCAAGGTGTGTGGAAGGCGTGCAACCTCTTACTGTAAGAATCCGTGTACCCATTGCACTCCTTACCGCTTAATCCATAATGATAGGTTGGGTGCATCAGTAGTCGACGGATGGCCACCGTCTGAATAAAGTATAGGAAATTATGGACACCGGCACTCCAAGGTAGAATAACGTCTTTTATTATTCGGGGTCACACAGGATCCCCTTCATCAGGCAGAACTGATGAAGGGGATCCTGTGTGACCCCGAAACGTTGCAATAAGTTCCTTTAATGCAGTGTAATACTTTGCATTAACACAACAGATCCAGTAAATGGGGTCTTAGGATTTGTCAGCTTGCTATTTCCTTATTTTTAACCCAAAACAATTGCCTAATGTACATGGTCTATGCTCATTTAACATACATTTTTTTTAAAGATAAAAAGCAAATGTCTGTTTTTGGTGCATTAAAGTGACCTAAACTCAGAAGTTGAATCTTAAAAATACATTCAAGTATCTTAACTATTACACAAATTAAAAAAAATGTATCTTATCACTCAGCCGATGATCCTCAAATCATCTCTGAATTGGTGATGACACTGTCCTATCTATCTATATATATATATCTATATCTATATCTATATCTATATCATACTACAACACACAGATGGTCCATAGCTGGTTCGCAGGTTCTACGTCAGTCAGGTGCATTGGGGTGTGGTTTCAAATGAATTCCATGCAATGCACCATACTGTGTGTAATGTGCTATCACAACAAGATAGAATAAATGGGCCCTATACCTAAAAAATGTTTTTTTTGTAAATAGACACCTCTATGAGTGACCAACAGCATTGCCAAACAGATTGGGTAGAAAGTCAGTACACTGTAAACAGATATAGAGAAAAAACACCATTTATCAGTACATTCCTTGTAAATCTTACATAGACCTCTGCATCCCTAGACTTTGACCTGTATAATTTTTTTTTTTCCTGATGCATGCGCTACTGAAATGCATGCATAATTTAGAATAAAGTAGTTAAAATGTCAGTGGATTATGAGCAAAGCAGCAAAAAAATATTTTCCTCAGACAATGGCTGTATCAGAATTGTGCATCTTTGTATAGTCCCTCCATTCTAATCTCTATTTTCATACATTTATACAGGCAGGCAAGAAGCTTTTTTTTTAGGCCGCCTAAAATTAAATTAATTCTGAAGCTGGAAAAAAACTGCTTTGTGCATCAGCAGATGAAATGTGTTTGTCAGGCTAAGGGAAAGAGCTGGGTAGAATAAGAGGAGGAAGCCTGATGACATCAGTTTTCCAAGATGCATCTGGAAGCCAACTAAAACTGGTCAATTCTCTAACTCAGAGTAGGGAGAGTGATGCTGACAATGCACTTTACACTCTACTGAGAGTTCAGGAAACTGTTGATGTCAGATGAAAAAGCAAAGGAGCGTGTGAATGAGGAAGTATATGCTGCTCTGGGAAACTAAGTGAGCCTTTTACATTGTCCTGCAAGGGCAATGAAAGGGTCACTTTAAAGTGATATTAAAGTTAAAAGGATTTTAAGCCATTTCAAACTTTGATGTAATCATTTACAATGAATGCTACTCCTTGGAGGTCCCCGAGACCCTGTTTTAGAGTGACACCCTTGTTAAGCAGAGCTCTATGGAGCCACCCTTGTTTGGCCTAGCAAGCTGTGTGTCTCCACAAACACAGCAAATCAAGCTACTTCCCTCCCTGGCCCTTTCTCCTCTCCAAGCTAGTAGATGAACAGTTGCTAGAGTCTACTCTGTCCCTCTTGATCTTGTACTGGCAGGAAGTTCAGGGAAGTGAAGCTGAGAGACTTGAGTCAGCTGTTCAGAAACATGATGATTTGGTTGGGCAAATCTGGCTTCTCCCTGCAGACAGCAGTGACACCGCTCAGTCACCCTCCCTGCAGAAATTGCTCCAGCATTCATTGGAGGGACAGACAGGGTAGGGGGCGGGCACAGCTGGCTCTGGCTCTAGAGCGACACAGCCAGTTATCAGGCAGCCGAGTGGATCCCGACAATAATTGTGGACTGCATGGCGTCCGCCCCCACTCATCTGTTGCTAAACTATTCAACCCCTCCCACTCTTAGATCTCTATAAAAGATTATTCTGTAGTCCATGATAAGAACTAGGACGATTTGAGATAAAGTGTGAAGGACACATGAAAGTTCTGAATTTCTGACAAAAATCAACAGGTGTTTTTGCACTTATTTAACTGTTAAAATAAAATGCAATTAACAGGGGTTCTGTGGCCAGTCTGGGTCTCAGGTCCACACTTGTGCCAATGGAGAGAGGAAGGAGAGCTCTTACTAGACATACCCCAACACTAACTTCTCTTAAGGAGACAAAAGCAATCAAAGGAAAAGACTGAAAGTTTGGACAGAAGGATGCCTGCTATGTTTGAGTTGTCCCCCAATTGGCTATAAATGACCAGATCAGTTGAACATTCTGATGTTTGCGTAAGCACCTTACCTCAAAATAAGCTGGTGTGATGGTAACAGATAGCTGGGGATTTGGCTAATCCCTAAACATCACACAGTCAGCAGAAAGCTCTACAACACAACCTATCAAAATTCATCAATCTGTTTATTTACTGAGCGCAGTCAGGGCAATGTCTCACTTCTTACTCCATTCCTGATCAGACATGAAAAAAGTTAGAACAATGACCAAAGCCCATTCAGGTCTCTACAGGGTAACAAACACACTTTGTTACATTATGTCACCAAGGACAGTAATGTGAATGATAAGGAAAGCCTCTGGGCAAGCAAAAAAGGTAATTCTTTCAGAGAGCTACCCTGGGGGAGGAGGTGTAAGCACTTGCTTTGGTCTAGGGTAGGCAACCTTAGCTCTCCAGCTGTGCTGGAACTACAAATCCCATAAGGCATTGCAAGCCACAGGCATGACTCCGAGGCAGAAGCACGATGGGATTTCTAGTTTCAGCACAGCTGGAGAGCCAATGTTGCCTACCCCTGGTCTAGGGTGGGGGGGAAAAACAAAAAACACCTGATCCTCGGGCATGACCAAGCTAGACCATTCCCCGCAGCCTCTTCTCCCCCGGGCTCCAGCAGTCTAAGGATCCGTGACATCATCTCGTCCTTTGGACGTGATGATGCCGAGGGACATTCCACAGCTGGAGTGGAAGGGGAGAGAGGTGAGCGGTCACCACAGCAGGACCGAGGATCAGGGGAGTGTATCTTCTTTATTTTAGACCTTAGACCACACTGAGCACTTAACCCTTGCACTGCAGGTGCAACCCCACTGCAATGATTAATTCTTTACCTGCCCAGTTCTTCTTTAAAAAAGGAGAACTATGGGGTTAAGGCTTTTCCCCAAAGTTCTCCTTAGGGTAACGGGAGGACACAAACTAGCATCCTCCCGTCACCCTAAGCTCAGTATACCGCGAGCTACAGCTCGCGGTATACCGAGACGCCACAGCTGAAGCGGATCCCAACAATTATGTCTGGATCCGCCCAGCTGCGTGAGTGACAGCTGGCTCTGCCTATCTAGAGGCAGAGCCAGATGTACCCGCCCCCTCCCCCATCCGATCCGCCAGTCAGCGCTGGCGGAGCAGGAAATCCAGCCCCTCCCCTGTCACGGCAGAGGGCTGTGACAGGATCGAGAAGTGAGCGAACGCCTCAGTTCTCCTTTAGGATACAATCACATCTAGGCGACAACGTTTTCGTGCGTTTCTACACATTTCTGCTGCACGTTTCAGACGGGTGTGCACTAAGTTGCGCGTTTTAACAGGCAGACTGACACATTGATGTAAATGTGCAAAGGTGCGCAAATATAATTGTGTCGTGCATTTCCTGTTGTCTGTGGGGACAAAACGCACTGTAATGTGCCAAAAAGGTGCGCATGTACCTTTTCCAGCGACAGGCATTTTACACCTTGAGACAAAAGGCTCAGGTTTGGTCAGGGGCCATAGGAATGAATGGGATTTCTTGTTTTGCGCGTTTTATTGCACGTTTGTAAGCACAAAAAACTAGGGTGTGAGCGGGGCCTTACTCTAAAGCACAGCACTAAAGACACTTGCCAATGTTGTACTACTTACCACTATCCATAGCTTTGCTAATTCAGCAACTGTAGAATCAAGAGCCTGCAGCGTAAAAAAGAAAAACTGATCATTTATTTATAAAGAATGCAAATATTAAGGTCAATGTAAAAAAATCCTCATTACATAGCAGTGGCCGGAAAGAGGTCTATAAGAGAACGGTTTCTAATAGAGGACTAGCAAAACAGCCGAAACAAAGGCAGCAACTTCCCTGCATTGAACATCACTTCCTTCCAAGAAGGATATCACAGCAGGTTATCCACAGTATATCTGTCATCTCTGAAGGAGCACTCATATTTCCAGCTTCTGATTCTACTATACTAGTCACACATTCAGTGTACAGTAAAGGAAAGCAATGGTAGTCAGGTGCCAGAAAACAGAATAAGCTGGCCATTGACATGAGGACTATTCTGAAATCCAGTTTGAGATCTCAAGTAGGAGAATCTATCAAAACTAAAGCAGACAGAATCTGGAGCAGTCGCCCATTGCAACCAATAACCTAATATCTTTTATTTTCAAAGCTTAACTGAACAAACTGGAGAAATTGATTGGTTACCATGGGCAACTGCTCCAGGTTTTGATAAATTCCCACAAATGTGTTTTGCCAAAGATACGTGGTTTACTGACATCACACTCCCAATAAGTCCATAAACAAAAACCTTGGGATAGTGTGTCACATAGATAGTCATATACCACAACATTGTTTGTTGTTATTAAAAACACAATATCGTGGTACCCCCTATCTTACCATATAGCACTCCATCACATTGTACTGGAAGATCTGCCATGAGATAAATATGATGGGTAAAGAAAGCAGTATGACTTGGGACACAATTATTTTAACCTAGGATGGATGTTGCATTGAAAAATATACAATATGCTGAGGGAATTTATCAAAACTGGAGCAGACAAAATCTGGAGCAGCTGTGCATGGCAACCAATCAGCATCAACCTTTCATTTTCAAAGCTTAACTGAACAGAGAAGCTGAATGGTTGCCACAGGCAACTACTCCAGTTTTTATCTATCCCCCCCATAGTATTTTGTCCAAACAGTACCAAAACTGACACTTTTCATACCACTGTTAAAATAAAAATGACAACAACATTTTTTTTTTTTTTTTTAAATGAATGTGGTATACGACTGACACCTTAAAAATTCCAAGGTCTTTATTCATGAATATTGTGAAATCCAAATAATCACAGCGTTATATACCAAACAAATAAATGTGATATGTGTTAGTAGAATACACTTTCATATCCATGCACACAACCATAAATCACTTTATATAAACTCATAAACAGGAAAATACATTTTGAATTTATTTTCACAAGGAACCCATTTTACTTTATTTGCTATACTATTAGGTAATAATTATAACAAGAAAATAAGTACTTGTAGATCTTAAGGCCTGGTTTACGCTGAGTGTATTGTCGCAGCGGATTCAGCCTGACCAAAAGCTTCACCGAAACAATTCCATTCCTTCATATGGCCCCTGTGCACACCTGTCGCCAGAAAAAGTATATGAGCTTCTTTTTGGCAGATCTCAGCTGCCCCATACACAACAGGAAACCCTGGAAAACGCCTGTTGCAATTAGTTTAGCCCGTTTTCTCCATTGACTTCAAAAAAAAGCTGATGCATAGGTGTAAATCCAGCCTAAAACCCTTGATTTTTAAAAGGAGAACTATGAGGCAAGTGATTTTCACTCAACCTCATAGTTTGAGCCGACGTGTGACAATGAAACTGTCACACGTCGGCTCAATAGATGGGGAAGTGAGCGAATACATACCGTCGCTCGCTTCTCGATCATGTCCCTGCAGAGAGGCGTGACTGTCATGGCTCCCTGCAGGGATTCCCCCACTCCCCACTCCGAACCTAGAGCGCTGACTGGCGGAGCGGATGGGGAGGGTACAGCTGGCTCTGCCTCTAGTTAGGCAGAGCCAGCTGTCAATCATGTAGCTGGGTGGATCCAGACAGTAATGTCGGGATCCGTCCCGGCTGCTGCGGTCTCAGTATACCGCGAGCTGTAGCTCGGTATACTGAGCTTTGGGTGACGGGAGAACGCTAGTTTATGTCCTCCCGTGACCCTTAGGAGAACTATGGGGAAAACACTGACCCCATAGTGCTCCTTTAATTCAAAACCTATCATTTATAAAACAGATCAAATAGACGAGTCATATGACACAGGAAAATATGTCCAAATAAAAGCATCTTCCTGAAGGTTGCAAACATTTCAGAATGCCATTGTAAAGATAATCTGTTTGTTTTTGCTTAGACACAGCAAGACAACCTTGTTCATTAGAGTTCCGAAAGCATGTACTTTGCTCTTTACCTAAAACATTATCAGCTTTAACAATCTCATTATGATAAGCGATTGGAATTTGTAGCTCGACAGCTGAAACAAGACACAGGTAAAAATCACTATGGAAAAAAAAGAATGGGAGGAGAAAAACAGCATACACTGCATGGAATTTAGCTAGATTTATTGTCCATTTTTACGTGCTCTCTCTCAGACTGACTGTGTTATAACCCCATTATCAGTAATAGGGGTCTAATTATTTCAACCATTTAGGGTAGCCCAACGGCAAAGGTTAAGAAACGTTTTCCCTGGAGTTCTGCTTTAAGGGTTCCTGTGGTTGGGATAAACTATTAACATTGCCAGGAGTAATTCTAATGCTTACATTCTATTCACATTAGGGATGCACCAATGCCGATAAAGTATTTGGACGAGTATTCCTACTCACCAAAATGCTCCGATACTTACCCCCGAAAGCGGAACTTCCAGTCAGAGGAAAGTGCCACAAGGGAAAATGGAGCCGGCTTCCCAGCCAAATCAGTAAGCTGGGCGGTGGGCAATGAATCGCCTCGCTGATTGGCTGAGAAGCCAGCTCAATGCTGTTTGGCTGAGAAGCCGGCTTTCCAGCCAATCAGCATCGAGCAAGCCAAACAGCTGGTAATGACCCGCCTCCCTGATTGGCCAGGAAGCCGGCTTTCCAACCAATCATCATTGAGCTGGCCAAACATCATGGAGCCAGCTTTCCCAGGCAATCAAGAAGGGTAATGACACCCCACCTGGCTTCCTGGTTGCCCGGGAAGCCAGCTCCATGCTAGCAGAAATACCGGTACTCGGTATTGGCGAGTACCAAAAGATAAATATCAGTGCTCGATACCGGAAAACCGGTATCGGTGCATCCCTAATTCACATGCTTTCATTGTTTAAAACAGTTTCTACAAAATCGCTCAAACCTCACAAGCCCTGTCACTTTGTCTGGACTGCATGAAAATGATCTAATACACTTTAAACAAAGACATGTGGAATTTTTTTTTTACTGAAAACAACTTATTGGGTATTAACCAGTCCTGTAACCAAAGGTCTTTATCTCAGTATGGATAGGGGCTGGAGGAACAGTCTGCAGGAGCCTGGGCATTGCACCCCAATTGGGGTTGCAATGCTTTGTAGACTTCCATGCAAAAAATGAATACATGCACATTGTTATCATCAATCTGTGCTTTTATTATTTAACTAAATATTGGTAAGCAAGGTTTCAGCACCCAAAACACCCATTACAGAGAGATCCCTAATTACCTGACAAAAGATTTTCTGTTTATATAAGTAGCTAAAGATAACACAAAATGATTACGTCCCCTTTACGACAGGTAATTTGGGCAAGATTGGCAATGATACATGTCTATAGGGACCATCAAACATCTCTAGCCATTCCTAACCTGACTGGTCTTCAGGGCAGCAGAGTGATCACTACCGTCTTCCACTAAAGAAGATTTACAAGGATGGATTATAAAAAAGGATATGAGCAGGTCTTCCTGTAAGCTCCCTACCTCCTCAACAGCCATAAACATGCATGCTCAGGTGATGAGCATACGAATTTATAAGACGATCTCTCAGCAGCCTATACATTAGACATCCTTCCAACATTCCTTATTTCTATTGCCTACACTATGGACTGGTTTGACCAGTGTTCCCTTTTGTTTTCTATAGTTTACTGCCATGTATAGGTAACACAATCCACCTTTATAATAAATTGGTAATTGCGATTAGAGGTATTCATGGTGTCTTACCTGTATGAGGGAGTATTCATACCCTGCAGAGGAAACAACAGATAAAATATTAGAACAAGAAGTTCAGCCAACACATAATAAATCAGTAGACCTTTATAGGATCATGTAATGTCCATTTCTGTGTTAAAGTGAACAGGAAGCCAGCTTTCCAGCCAATCAGCATTGAGCTGGCCAAACAGCATGGAGCCAGCTTTCCCAGGCAACCCCTTGCTGGGTTTTCCAGGGAGTGATGAAAAGTCCTTATTTTGCAAAGCTAAACTCTGATGTGACTAGCTAATGTTTCAGCCCCCATTCACACCTCATGTGTTTTGTTGTGTGTTCCCCGAAGCGCGAAAATGCTCATGGTGAACAATCCAATTATTCTCAGTGATGCCCATTCACTCCCATACGATGTGCGCTTGTCACTTGAAAAAGCACAGCAGCTTTATTTCTAACCAGAATCACACGGTTTTTAACGTGTCTTTAATGGGAGCACCTAAAACACACATGCAATGCTTTCACACAATTTTGTGCCTTACAACCGTCTCCTCCTCCTAATAACTAACACAAAAGCTCAAGCCTAATAAAAAGTTTCAAAAATCACCAATAAATATTCACACAAGTGTGACCAGGCTTACAATTAAACACATAGAAAGTAAGTGTGCTCCACCTCCTAGTGCTTTTCAAGTTAGCAGAATGCTGGTGCAATGGCAGTGCTCTAATAGAAACATCCAAGATTAAAAAAAAAAAAAAAAGCCAACCTTCTACTGAAGATCTGCATCAATCATTTATGGTCTTTTAAAAAAAAAAAAAGAAAAGGTATATAAATCCACATATGGACAAGATGCTAACACGTTTCAGCCATTGAGGCCCGAGTCATAACTATGACTCAGGCCTTAATGGCTGAAACGCAGTAGCTTCTGGTCCATGTGTGGATTTATATACCTTTTAAGACAATAATCTATTAATAAGGCTCTTTAGTGCAGTGCTCGCCTTTCCTATCTTATACATGGGGGGCCCAGACAAACCAAACATCCAAAACCAGACAGCAGTCACACACCTCATCACTAGTGTGCTTGGTGCGAACCCTGTTTAAAAAGTGACTGATACCCTCCTCTGCCAATCACTGCAGCAGATGCATTTCCCACCCTGCAACTATACAGTCACAAAATGGTGAGGAATGCACCTGACGCTATTGATTGGGCCAGGAGGGGTGCAGCAGTCAGAGTTTGGACAGACATAGGTGAAGTGGGTTTGCGCCAAGCCCATCTTTATTAGTGAATTTTGCTTGACAATCAATGTTTGTAAATTGTATTGTAAAGTGCTGCGCAAACTGTTGCCGCTATATAAAACCTGTATAATAATAAACAAAATATGGAAGTCAAAGCTGGCTGCAGCACACACAATTAGCACAATGAAATAGAGGAGAGGTCATAAGATGTTGTTAAAATATTTATAGCCCGTTAATAGGAAAACAGGCATGTAACACGCGAGCAATCAGGCGAATCCCAAGGATTTGCTCAGCTAGTTATGTCCAGTTATGGGATATTAGCTTGCATCCACCCAACTGTGTCATCATCCACAAGACTACATGAGTAATACACAACTGTTTATCATAACATCCCCATCCCAACATGGAAGAAAGATCTATTCCTTCCATAAATCCACACTTATCTCCTCTATGACTACAACCCAATAGGGTACAGGAGCCTCTCTTCCTATCTTGTTTGTTATAATGTACATAGCCAGGGAAGGGGGTTTCTGTAATGCTCCACCAACAGGCAGATCACTCCGGTTCATCCTCTGTACATGGCTCGGACATCACATCTATAATAACCTCCAATAGTCGTCTATGTATATGGAAGGCGATGATATGTGATCTGTACCTGATCGGAGCCCCGGCGATCACACAGAGTTCAGCTCGGGATCTTGTCTCGTCTCTCTGCCGCTACTCCGTCCATGAGCCGAATCCCAGCCAAGCACAAACTGATGCTGGGAGGAGAGAACGTTAACACTACAACTCCCAGCACCCCCCGCGGCGCGCACAAGCTTTCAATCGCGAGAAACTTTATTGCTCACAAACATTTTCGGTAAACACGGGGGAGATGATTACATTGTGTGTGCGAGTAGTAATTGTTGGGAGAAGATTAACGGTCGTGTCAAGTCACAGCTGAGAGTTTTGTGTTTCTCAGGGGTGTCTCTAGAATTCTAATTCTGGAAACAAAGACTACAGTGTTGATGCATAGGATACCATGATGATCAGTTTGGATTGCCACACACAGAGGCGTAACTAGAAACCTCAGGGCACCGGTGCAAGAAACCATTAACCCCTCCCCCCAAAAAAATTATATTAAATAAAAAGTATGGGGTTTTTTTTAACTTTCAGGGCTAGTTCACACCAGCTCCAGTGTTGCCTGCGCTTAGTATGGGGCATTTTCACAAGTACGTGTGAAAAAACCCAGTACTGGCACTGGTGCATCCTAAGTTACTAATATAATGTATTGCTGGGACTTGTAGTCCTGCATAGCTGGTGGTATTCTGCATTGCTGTATAATTATTATACAGCAATGCAGAATACCACCAACTATGCAGGACTACAAGTCCCAGCAATGCATTCTAATGTAAATAATAACAGCTTTTTAATCCCCCCACTGGTGCATCCCTACTTAATAATATAATGCATTGCTGGGACTTGTAGTCCTGCATAGTTGGTGCTATTCTGCATTGCTGTATAATGATATAATACAGTAATGCAGAATAGCTCCAACTATGCAGGACTACAAGTCCCAGCACCCAAACCCTACAAGGGCCCGGTTGCAATTGCGACTGATGTGACCCTGGTAGTTCCACCAGTGGCCACACACCTTAGCCCCAATTCACACCACCACATTGCAGTGACGCACGTTCGTTTGCGTTCACGGGCGTTTGTTTGCCATGTGTCCCCATTGATTTCAATGGGGTCCAGAAGGAGCACCAATTGCGGGCAAGTAGTGCATGTAGCAAAATTTGCAATTGCATTCTGAGTTTTTTTCCTGTGCATTTTGCCTTGTTTGGCACACGGAGGTGTGAATGCGGGCTTACAGTCAAATTGTATAGCTGCCATGGCGCCCTGTGCGGCCGCACTGCTCGCACACCCCTAAGGCCGGCCCTGCCTCCGTTAGATCTACCAAAAAATATGTAGTACAAGAGCCTGCCTAATTGAATACAAATTCATTAGCTAGAATAGGTATATCCTCATATTACACAGTATTTGTACATCTAAAGTAGATTGGACAAGATTGTTTGCTCACATTGTAAGGTGTATGGTGTCCCCAAGGGCCCATTCACAGCTGATGTGTAGTAAAAGGTACTGTGTTGATGCACCGATTGCGGTGCATCGCACTGTTTACCGCCTTTTCTTGTTAGAACTTTATTGAAATGTCACGCGTGACATTTCGTGACATACTATTGGCACAGCATGGTGTGAAGAGGTTGTACCACGTCACACCTTGTTGCCCCATACAGTACTATTTTTTTCATATTGCCTTGTCAATGCCAATGCTTCTAGCAGTGGTGACTCTAGGAACAATATGTAGGGGGGGCACATAAGATACAACAGTCAAATTTGGGGGGGCACTAATAATTTTCATTGCATGTCGCAACCGCTGGGCACCGATGAGCTGATTTAATTGCGGATGGCATCGGCACCCCGCGGTTGTGACAGACATGTAGTCCAACGCCGCCCACAATCCTCCATACCGCAACGGCCAGGCGCCGATGCCATCTGCAATTCTTGGGACCAGGAGCAAGTGTTAAAAAACGATCGTCCTCTAAGAGCAGAGGGAGAACTTACTGTGAGGAGCTTCACACACTGCATGACAGGCTCACAGTCAGCTATGGCCACAGTGCGGGCTCAGCAACTTCAAAGTCAGCAGCAGGGGGGCGGGGCTGACAATAAAGCTACATCCAGATTTCTACAGACAGCCGCTGGAGCTGCTTGTATACTAGCACCAGCACTGGAGCCACTGCACCGCTGCTTAATTTAGCGGGGGGGCAAAGCATAACACAGGGGGGGAAATTGCCCCCCTGTAGTGACGCCTATGCAGATCATAGAGCAGATTGGGGAACATATGTTCCCTGCTCTGCTCCCGCTCTCCACCCTGACACTGTTTTCAGTGGTCTTGGGCTCCCCAGAGTAGCAGTGGATCCGAAAACCACAGGCGGGGGCTAGTACAAGTGATCTGGGTGGCTGTACAGCTGCCCAGATCACTTGTAGTTGTAGCAGCCGGCCCTGCCCGATGTCATTGGGTGCTAGGACGATAGCGGTCCTAACAACGAAAGACTGAAGCAAGGGGAGGCCTGTCCTGGGTTATGCCTGGAAGTGGATACACTGTCAGCTAGCCATAACCCAGCACAGGTGCAATCATGGTCCCCACACGACTGCCACTTAATCCGTGTCCGGACCATGGTCCAACATTTTGTGACCCGTGCACTACTAGTAGAGGACCTGAGGCACTCAGTAGAGGACCTGGGGTACTTGGGCGAAGACATGGGATACTCAGTAGAAGACCTGGGGCACTAAGCAGAAGACCTGGGACACTCAGTAGAAGTATCAGGCCATTTAATGGAAAACCCAGGGCTCTCGTTATAAGACACAAGAAACTCAGTAGAAAAACCGGGGGAATTTTAGAAGACACAAGGCACTCAGTAGAAGACCTGGGGCACTCACTGTAAGATCTGGTGCACTCATTAGAAATACACAGGGCACTAAGTAGAAAACCGCTGCACCTATTAGAAAGACAAAGGGCACTAAATAGAAAACCGCTGGACCTATTAGAAGACCCAGGGCACTCGGTAGAAGACCCAGGGCACTCGGTAGAAGACCCAGGGCACTCGGTAGAAGACCGAGGCACATGCCTTGAATGTCAGGGTTTAGCAATGGCCCTGGTGTTTCCCAAAGTGGGAGAACACTCTCAGTGTAGAACCCCATTATTTTCAACAGTTCTCATACACCCCTGAAACTGCTTGAAGTTCGAAAAAATATTTGAGCTATTTTTTCGGTCAAAATCATAAATTTTTTGCCCCCATACATGTGTAACATGTGTTTTGTGCAAGCTTTAGCACCTAACAACCATATCCTCCTAGTAACTAGCTTTCCATTGCCTAAGACAAAAAGGCTCAAGCTTAAAAACACCTGAAAAATGGGTGCGAAAACGCCTCTAGATGACCTGAAATACACTCAGCTCGAGCGCCAATGCAGGCTAAAGTTGGCCATACACGGGTAGAAAACAAATGAATAGTTAATTCAGTCAATTGATTGTTTGCAACCACAATGATGAAAAAATTGAAGGAGCAGAATGTAAAATTTAATTGAAATTCTAACAGTGATTTTCATTTGGGAACACATCTATCCTGCATCCAGGGATAATGATCTTTTCTAAACCGCATATAATAGTATAACATATGATCACATGTGGAGGACCGCTTACAGATGTGGCCGCTGTCACCCTGTCATTAACTTGAGTATCATCTATACAGGAGATTTGGGATTCCTGCCCCAGCAATCTGTAGGTTTCTGCTGCAGGCATCCCATAATGCCCAGCCTGTTCTGTAATTGGATTTCATTGAGGCTGGACTCACACCTATTTCCATAGGATTTTTTATGCATTACCATTGTAATCAAAAGGTCGTCAATATATCATATAAAAGACAATGCACGTCAGCACATTGTACAGATGCAAACTAGCAGCATTTAAAACAATGGCAAACCCGTGTACTTGCTTTGAAGTGCGAAGAAACCTAGGTGTGAATGGTACTGCTAAACACACCCAAAATAAAGCATACTTTTTGGAAACACACTGCTTTGAATTGATCCTATGGAAAAGAATGGATATTCTCTTGTGTGTGCATAATGTTCTGGTGAAACCACTTCTAAAAGAATTACATTCATTTACATTTGTTACGTATAAAGCTTGTGATTTTCTACCATGCTGTAGCAGAGTCAGGAATTTCCAATGAAGCAGATCTGTGACAAATCAGTACATACAATTCATGTGAGGCCTACTACAGCCACAATGTCTCCAAGCAGTCCCTAGCCTGTAGACTGGGTTCTCACTAGTAGCCGCATGCTAAAACGGAACAGTTTATCGTGTGGCTGGTATCCATTGGATAGTAGTGGTGCCTGGTGTTATTAACCCCTTAGTGACACAGCTTCAGACATTTTTTCGCTTCTGGGTACCGCAGCAATTTTGCCATTTTTGCTCTGTTCGTTTAACCATAATTTCAATTTTTCTTATGCATTACACCCCCCCCCATATTATTTACCATTGTTTAAAGGACAAAATGGGCTTTGTGGTGGTGCAAGGCCAAGGGAGAAGTGATGCATGGTACCTCCAGTGTGGGTGATGGCTTCAGCTCTGTCCAGTGTCCCACTTAGCTCACTGGTTGCCAGGAGCTGAAGGGACACCAGCCAGAGCATTCTGCTCAGCTTCTAGCAACCAGTGATGTCAGTGAGCTGGGCAGAATGCTGGACATAGAGTCACAGGTTGCTAAGAGCTCTTAGCAACCAGGGACACTTTGGATGGATAAGGGGCAACAGGCACACCTGCCTCCCTCCCACTTGACCCAATAAGATGCCGCCTCCGGTGCCAACCGCCCATAACACCAGCACTGTGGTGTGAACGGGGAACAAATTCTCTATGTCTTAGCGATAACTGCCATTGACCCAGTGCACGAAATGTCAGCCCCTGCAACTGGTGTGAATGAGCCCGTAAAAGCCTAATATCAAAGGGGTACTCCTTTTAAATTCAAGGTCAGCTTAATTAGAATGAGAAGAAAACATATTTAACTACTTGCAGTTTGCAAGTGCTTTAGAGCCGGTTGCCGTACATGTATGAGGTTTTTTTTCTCTTGGCTTGCGTGCACAAGCAGGACACAGTAAAAGTTTTAAACAGCCGGCAATGGCTGTTACATACGAGCGCTGTTTATTTTTTATATAGTTTCTTTATATAGTAAAACATAAAAACCCCAGTGGTGATTA